CACACACAGCTTTGCTGCAAAGGTTTGCACTCAACTACTAACTGAAGGCTGGGGAGTCAAACTCACCCAGAAGCACCGCAGAAGAAAGGCCTGGTGATAACCCTCCAGAGAGATCCCAGCCAAGCCGCCTTTACAGAGCAGTGCTACCCCGTCACTAGGGGGTCGCCATGGGAACCGACCCAACAGCCACGGGTTCTACCCTGTCACAAGAGGGTCGCCATGGGAACCGACCCAACAGCCATGGGTTCTACCCCGTCACATGGGGGGGTGCCATGGGTTCTACTCTGTCACATGAGGGGTCGCCATGGGAAATGACCCAACAACAATGGGTTTGGGTTTTAGGTTTTCTGCAGGAGTTAGGAGCTCTGGTGTAGTAGTCAAGGCATCTGGCTGCTGATCAAAAGGTCAGTGGTTCGAAACCACCAGCTGCTCCTCAGAAGAAATATGGGGCAGTCTGCTTCTACAAAGATTGACAGCCTTGGAAATGCAATGGGGTTGCTATGAGTCGGAAATGACTCGATGGCCGTGAGATCTTTTTTTTTAATGAATAACCTGGACTCAATTCATGTCTAATGAGGAGGTTAGAGGGCCAACACTCAGGCGGGCTCGCCCAGCACATCTGTCCGGGAAGTTTCTGGAACATTCCACACCTTGGAGATGGCATGGACTGTGACGATGCAGGTGAGCCCAGCACGTTGCCCAGTCAAGATCACAGCAAGGCAACTGCATCATGGCCACCCAGCAGGTCCCTGTCTGTGGGGCTCCCACAGCAAGAGAAGTGGGGGTGCGTCTCAGGTCACCACATGCCTGGAGTGCTGGAATCCCTCTGAAGACGCCCTTCCCAAGGGTTTGGGCCAGGGGCCCCCAGGGAAAGGCACACAGGGGGAGCCATTGGTGAGCTGGCTGCCTGGCGAGGGTGGGGCCTCACAAGCTGTTGTGGGCTCAGCCTTATGAACCTCCAAACTTCCGGGGGCCTGACATGGCTGCTCCCTGTTGACCCAGCCAGCTGGGTTCTCATTCAAATCACAGTGCCGCTGCTGGCAGGTGGAATGACAGTATGGGACGTTAATAGAGTCTTCAGCCGTAAAAGAAGAGCAAGCTTTATTTAATGAAACACAGTTGACTCATTTCCCTCCGCCCCTTTGGCCCTGACCAGGATGGAAAACGCAGACAAGCTGTGCAAACTGGGAGCAAGGGTCTCCGCCAGGTGAGCTGTGGACAGGTGAGCTGTGAAGGCTACGTTAGGGCACACGCAGTGCCCCGGGGGACACCCCAGAGAGCCACTTCATCGAATGTGACAACGATTACCGCTGCTTCCTTAAACCCCAGAGATCTGGGGCAGGGAGGAACTAACCTCTGAAAATGTGAAATGAACACTGAAGAACAACTCGGTACGATTCCTGGCCAATCCCTTCACATGCAGCCCCCACCCCGTCTGTCCGTCGGGGCTGGAGAGTTGCTGGGATGGAGACCAAGTTCCAGTGGAGCTTCCAGACCAAGGCAGAGTCGGAGGAAAGGCCTGGCAACTTACCGCCAAAACTGAGCCAATGAAAACCTAAGTGATCATGAGGACGACGCGGGACCAGGCAGGATTTCGCCCCGTGGGGTATGAGGTCACCACGAGTCAGGACCAAGTCAACAGCAGGGATGACAACATCTTCAAACAAGACAGAGGGCAACACCACAGGTCCTCAAGCTGCAAAGACATCCCAGGGCCACTCTGCTTTGGGGATCCTGGTGCGTTCTCTCGACTACAGTACACCGTTCAGAGATTTTCAATGCAGAACCACTTGGACTCACTCAGAGACGGGCATCAGCCAAAACACCCTTCCCTCTGACAAGGCCTTGGCTCACTCCAACGGCAAAACCCCTGGGACCCCGGAAGACAGGCATTGAAAATAAATCATAGTGCAAGCAAAAGCTGGACAAGCAAGCTGCGTGAGAAAAAGAGTCTTCAAAACCACTTCCCAACACTGCGAAGTGCTTACATTATGATAAAACACTTTGTAAGAACCACCCCAATTTTCCTCTGTACCCACGGAGAGGAAAAAAATACTCCTAGCTGGATCTAATCTCAAATGCAGATAGTTTTGTCTGGTGGAATTACAGTGCTGTCTAAACTATTTGCTACAGTGTGCATACAATGTCGTAACTACAAACCTTTATATTGGAAATCACAGCAAGGTTTACATTTCGCACTAACCATGAGGTCGAAGGTTTGAATCTACTCAGAGCTGCCCCAGGAGAAAGGCCTGGTGATCTCCTTCTGAAAAGTCAGCCCGAGAGCCCCGGGGAGCCCTGTTCAACTGCGACGCACATGGGGTCACCCTGCGCAGGAAGGAACTCCACAGCAACGGGCCTGGGGCCATCCGAGCCTTTAAGGTTTACAGGCAGAGGCATGTGCCGGTACGTTTCTGGTGATGAAACACACGTCAGTTACTGTGAGGCTAGTGGCACCTAGTTACCAACCTGGGTCCCACGATCTTCGCATCGTCAGCACCCACAGCAATGCCTTCAGATTCCGCCGGAGTGAGCAGCCCACAGCCCACGGTCTGCACAGCACTGTTTCTGCACGGTTCTGTTCTCAGCCAAAAACATCTTCCTGTCTCAACTGAGCTATCCTCTCAATGTCCAACACATCAACTGTCCATAGAAATCATAACCCAATCCTGAAATCGACACATCTCACCGGAACAAGTGAACTCACGTTCCATGAGAAGAGGCAGGCTAGGAAGCAGAGCGTGTGGCTGAGGCAGCCTGCAGGCTCGGCTCTGCTGGCTTGGTCCCTGCTTGGGATTCCACTTTGAAGGACTGCAGTCAGCTGCGGGGGGTTAATCCTTCCCTGCACCTTCTCCCCCTTCTCTGAAGGCTGGACAGTAAAGCTGCCCCACACACACACACAGGCTTGCACAGACATCCCAAGAGACTGTGACCACCAGAGCACTGCTGCTGAAGTTCTATAGCAATGAAGGTGGTGTCACCATTGCTAGCAACGCAAGGAACAGAAGCCCAGCGGAGGGCTCTTCCGTCTTCTCTGCGTAACTACAGTCCTGGCACGACACACACATTCCTTCTCCTAACAGGAAACAACAGCATCGTCGAAGCCCAAGCAGGGTCAGTCCAGCAATTCTCAGCTGTCATGAAGAAATGACAAGGGCAGGGCTTCCCACCACAAAGGAGGCCAGCATCTCCCACACTAAAAGGCAGGCACCAAGCTATCAAAGACCATCACCAACACAAACACAGAACACCAAAGAAAACTGCAACCACATCCTGGTGCCGGAAAGTCAAACTGTTCCACTGGACTGCTCGCAGCTCCAGGGCTCAGCTCTCAGCACGGGATACCCACATGAGACACCCCAAATCACACCCCAGCACAGGTCCTCGCACAGCCACAGGGTGTCTCAGCTGGGAGAGTTCAAGCCCTGGCTCCGGCTTTCCAAGTGTTTCATCAGACTCTTGCCGAGACAGTCCAAGGGCAGAAACAGACAACTCGATAAGCAGGAGCAGCTTTCACGTCCACCGCCGCAGAGCGCGCACAGGCGGGCTGTGTGGACACTCGTGCAGCATGAACTCACCGCCAGCACGTGGGGCAGGTCCAGTGGGCTCCCCTCGCCGGTCCTGCCAAAGGCACGGAGCCATGAGGAAGCACCTACAGCAGCCAACAGGGCGCGAGGTTCGCTGGGGTGAAGGGCACTGAGAACCAGGCGTCCTGCGAGCCTAGACCCTCCCCAGGAAGACACAAGTCCTCCATGGACACCACTGCCCAGTCGGCCAGGCTGGCCCAGACACCTTTCAAGTTCACGGGGCTGCCAAGTGGACCCGCCACGCAGCATCCACCTGCTCCACCAACCAGAGCACAGTGGGGTGAGTGGCTCAGACGACACGGCACCCCCTCACAGGCAGATGGAGGGGCACTGGGCCAGGCACACTGCAGCCAGGCCTGGGCACACTCGCCCTGTCCCTCAGCAGGGGCACTGCCGGCCTCTAAGTAGGACAGGTCTGTACTGTGGACAGCCCCATCCGGTGGGCCTCCGACCACCCCTGACAAACAAGAGAGGACTGAGCACTGCTTGTCTGAGGCGGGAGCAGGATGCCACATTCCCTGATACCCCACCTGGTCCCCCAGCTGAGTCTTAGCACAACCCAAGGGACAAAGCAAGGAGACCAGCCAGGAGCCAAGGAGTAGGAAAAGAACCAAGAGCCACGGTGACGCTGAGAGAACACAGCTCGCAAAGGAGAAGCTGCCACTCCTCCCGCAGGGGCCACGACCCAGCAAACCTCGGGGAAAATGTCCCGGCTCAGGCCCAACCAGCCAGCCGACAGCTGACGGTGGTGGCCTCCCTGGGCCAAGCACTTGCAAGTGAGACCCTCAGGCAGAACGCTGAGAGGAAGGCACTGGTCCCCTGATAGAGCACTTCTCCCAATGTGGCCCGGGACCTGAGGCTGAAAACACCCCATCAAGGCCCGCTTTGCAAAGGAGCAGGTGGAGCCGCCCAGAACGCGAGTCCTGGCTGGCTTTCTGCGTAGACCGAGTTCAGCACCTCGCGAACTGGTCACAGAAGAGCCCTACCCAGCAGCGACACCTTTCCACGGCCGTCTTCAACGTCCAGCACGACGCTCGCCCGGCCCGGGCAAAGACCCAACCTGTCACGGGCCCCGAGGCGCCACCCCCCAGCTGTCCCCCAGTCGGCGGCCGGGCCTGGCCCCTCGCGCCCCGCACCTCCCCTCCGCGGGCGGCCCAGGACGCGGCAGCCCCGAGCCACTTTCTCACCGAAGGCTCCATTGTCCATGATCCAATCAGCGCCGCCGATCCATCCCTACGGGCAGCGCTCGCGGAGCGCCGGGCGCCGGCGGCGCGGTCAGGCCCCCGCCGCTCGGCCCTGGGCCTGCTCTCGGCCTCGGCCGGCCTGGCAGGGCCAGCTCCCTGTGGGAGGCCGGGCCGGCGCGAGGACACGGCGCGCACCCCGCGCCTCCCAGCCCGCGGCGCCGGCGCTCACCTTCGATGGCGATGACGTGCTCCCGGATCTGGCTCTGCAGCACCGGCTCCTCCACGCGCTCCAGCAGCTCGTAGATGGAGTAGATGTTGGGGTGGACCGATTCGAAGCGCTGGATCTCGGCCCGGATGGCAGCCGAGTTGGCCAGCTGCTGCTGGTAGTTCATGGTGCAGGCGCCGCGCCTGGAGCCGCGCGCCCCCCG